TCCTCGACGTTTTCCACTGGTATTACCGCAGTCTAGGTTTGTCGCAGTGCACTAGTCTCATCTCGACAGGCGCAAAACACATCGCCACCGCTTGGATTTCAGATCGCCTAAATCAGAATCAATCGAAATCCATTCTTTTTCGCGACACCCCCGAACAATAGGGCAAAACATTCGGCGGTAGCCGTCGCTTCCAGTCGCTTCGACCCCCACTTCACTATTTTCGTCTTCCCTTGCCAGGATGGACAATTGCCACGCCTGAAAGGAACCAGTGAACTGCAGCTGCAGTAAACTAGAATTCTATATTTTAGGGCTTCTTTCACCAACACCGGTTAACTTATAGCGTTTTCAGCCCGGCCAGGTTTGCATAATCTTTCCTATTGGTTGACTTTACCCGCTCTACCAATAGGAGAGCACAAAACGTTATTAATCCAACCCAGGTTGGTGCAAACCTAATCGGGCCGTAAACGTTATAAATTAATCAAAATTGGTGAAAGAGGCCCTTATAAAAGTAAATTTTCACGAGCTGCTCTAACTGGCTGTTTCAGCTAAACGAAAAGATCACGTGATTAGAATGGACGATTGATATTGGTTGCGTTCAGCAGACTCAACAGTTTTGCAACCGTTTTATGATTCTTCGCTCAGATTGGACTATTTCATTAAACCTAAAAGTATAAACCAATCAGCGCGACGAATCATAAAACGGTTGCAAAACTGCTGAGTCTGCTGAACGCAGCCATTTATCGGCAGCGTTCAGCAGGACACAACAGTTTTGCAACCGTTTTATGATTCTCTGCTGAGATTGGACCATTTCTCTTGATCTAAGAGCATAATCCAATCAGCGCGAAGAAAACTTCCAACAGTTGCAAAATAAACGATCTGCTGAACGCAGCCATCGTATGCCACAGGCTTTATAAATATTGAATTCTACTTTTTATATATCAATGTTTATCGCTTATCGCGTTCAATATATATTAAGCATAAAGGCGCATTTACACCCCTAATAGAAAAGAAGAAAGCAGAAGAACAGCAACTTGAGTTCTGATCGGCTGCTACTTTTTTGTCAAAGTGTAAATTCGCCCTAAGAATTATGATTCAAAACGTTCAAATCGGAAGTGACTTAAGTGGGGAGCACAGACCACTGAACTCTATACTGGAATGGGCATCTCCGCTGTGATGCATAGAAAATCATGGCCGCGACTGATCAGTCGCCATCTTGGCTCGATCAGATGCCTGAGCAAATCAGAAGCGTTCGCGCGCGAGTTGCGATCATGGTGGAAGGGATAGTGCTATCCCTTCCACCATGGTTGCGATCGATGTATGGAAATCTATATAGCATATCACACAGCACTTCATGTTGATGCTTTGTAGACAGTCACGCGATTTTATAATTCTTCAAATATAACCTCACACACAACAGTCTTGCTGACATTTGCGCACAGAACATATATAAACAATTTGCGTTTTACTAAAAAACGCTAAACTTAAGTGCGCATGAGCACCTGAAAGCTTCTGATTTGCTCAGGCATCTGATCGAGCCAAGATGGTGACTGATCAGTCGCGGCCACGAATTTTCCTAGATGCCCATTCCAGTATAGAGTTCAGTGGCACAAATTCTTGCATAACGCATAACCATCGACATCTATGGTGCGTTCCATATCGCGCATGATGTGTATGATGCATCCATTGTCCTTGTTTAACGTTTGGTGAGCAACAAGGATAAACGACGCATTATGCGCATCATGCGAGAAACGGAACGCACCCCTAGAATGGACCGCTGATGGCAATGGTGGGGGTAGAAAGACGATTAGAGTGAGAGGCAGGAATAATAAGATCGTTCTTTCTCTGTTTACTGTTGTTTCTAACTACTGTTGGATTAACAACAACCAATCAGGCTTCAGTACCATTGCCATCGGCGGTCCATTCTAGATGTCGATGCGCATAAAGGCCCGTCTACAATACACGGAGTAAGAAGTAAGAGTAAGAAATTGACCAATCACAGTCGATTATTCTTCTCACATTCGACTGTGATTGGTCAATTTCTTACTCTTACTTCTTACTCCGTGTATTGTAGACGGGCCTTTATGCATAAGAAAATGAACCGATTAAAGTCCTTTATTTCCTTCCTTTCCATGAAATAAAGGACTCTGATTGGTTGATTTTCTTATGCTTCATGTTTCATGCGTTATAAGCCTATGCTTCCCGTTTAAGGTGGAAATTACAAAAGTGAGCAAATTCACTAGAATACTTATAACTTAATTGGTCAATATCTAGAGAATTTGCTCACTTGTAATTTTCACTTCATTTCAAAATACGCTACTGACTCCCAGACTTCTTGATGCGCGTGGAACATCGAATTGCGCGCCATTGTGCTCCGTACACGAAAGTGATGTCGAATGGTGCTTGGTTTACTGAAGAATTTTTAACTCAATTTATTTACAGTTTCTCAGGCTTGATTCATTTACAGTTTCTTGAATCGAGCTCATTCCAACATTATGGTAATTGCGATTGATATTTTGAGATCGTGACTGATATTTGAGGTGGATCATATAACCTATAATGTCATTGACGTTTGATAATTTTTTAGTTTTAGTGAAACTATCCGAATTACAAAATTTGTTATAAAAAAAATCTATTTACGTTAAGAATATAGCGATTGAGATTCCGTTACTATTAATTTAATAGATAAGCAGTTATTGCAAGTCATTCATTCTAGACATTATAAACATTATAAACTTTACAATTCAGAAATGAATATTTTTTAAGACATACTAATGTATTATTTTTTGGCAGTCTGCCATATTTAATTTTCAGAGCCTACTGACTGTAATATTATTGCTAATATGCACCTGTACCTACATTAGATCACTGGCACCAAATTTGTTTGACAAACGGCTAGGAAAGGTTGGGTACGTAAACATTTTTATTGAGTATCACTAAAATATATACTCATGTATGTAATATACATAATATATTCTGTATATATTTAATAAATTCTTAATTTTAGTTTTCAGGGTACTTTTTGGAAATGTGCTAGGATTGGGGAAAGAAAGAGTCCATATGTGGCTTTTTGTTGCGTTTGTATGGCCTTTAGTATTTTATTTTGGTCGTAACATTCTTACATGGGTCACTCTGACCAATGCATTTGGTGTATATTCCAAAATTATAACCTAATATATATTTATGTATCTAAGGTCCGAGATGTGAGAAAATAAAAAGCAGTTTTGATATCTGTTTGTCGACAAACAGCTATATTTGTCGTTTCAATAATACATAAAAAATACACTCGTTCAAGCTAGACTTAAAGTCAAAACGAACGTCACTGCTAAATGCATGATAGTTTTTTTTTTCTTATTTGTCAACACATTTTTTCCTCCTCAAAGCCATATCATCCAATTTGAGCACATTTTCTCATTGTATTCTCATAATATATTTTTCCGTCCTATAAACAACAACATTCTTTTAATATAGTTATTGTAAAGTTATTATATTGAGCATTCTGTGATATACAGGGTTCGTTAGATAGGTACATTTAACACATTTTTGCTCTGTGCGGGATATGCTACCTTCTCCATGACAGTAAATCACGCGATGTAACTAAGACTTGTACTCCATATTGATGGACATTATAGAATTGTTTTAAATCGTTGACTTATTTTATCTTTTCTGTCAACCTTAATACTCTCCGAGTTGAACATTGCTAATATCGCTTTACATAATTGTCTTAATTACAGAGCAAGATATGGTTCATAGTTTTGCGAGGAACATTAACTAAATGATCTTCGTAATATTACTAAAAATTATTATAAGATCATTTGCTGTTAACTTCTCGTATTTTTATACACAACGTATACATCTATGCCATCATATACATGTATCATCACTAAAATGCACATCTGCTATTCTCGAGATGATAGCCGAGCATATCTTATAAAAGAACTGGCAAAGCCTAGTTTAATTTAACGCGTTTTATTTAAAAAGCGATATATCGGTCATTCCTCGCGTTTCACCACTTATGCTATATACCTATATAACGTGGTTTTGCTTCATTACCGACATATAAGGTACAGTATTTGTGTGTCTACAAGTAATTTAAAAAAATACATAAAGTAACCGAAGTGATTTATATGTATATATATATATATAATATTTCTCTAAAGTGTTTGGTATGCTATTACATGTGCTACAGATATGGATCTTATTTCGGATATGACGTGAAAACGTTCGCTATGATGCCAAGTATATCATTTCGCTTTCTTACATCACAATAAACAAAGATATTATCATCTTATCTCTTACATACAAATTACTAAATTAGTATGCTAATTATTTGTCTGCATTTGGGTACGATCGCACAATTGCTCGGCAAGTTCGTGTGATTCATTGATGAAGACGTATTACAATGGCAACGTAACGGATGTTCATTTTAACTGATGTGAGTTGTCACTGTTGTTATGAGATATAATATGTACGTCAAGATTGCATTTTGTATGTAAGCGATTAAATTCTGCGCGTTCTACCCATCATCAACGACAGTGACAGCTCATTTCAGATAAGACACCCTGCATATATATAAGGCTTTTGACGCTAACGTTATAAAATTACTCCAATACCTATTAATCTCACAAAAAAAGAATAATTTGCTCGCTCCTCGTATTTTCAACTCTTGGACAGTTAGTGACGTTCGCCTCTTCTATTTTTCTCATTCAATAATCAATTTTAATTGATTTATTAATTTTTATTATTTTATATTATTTTATATACCTATTTATTCATCTATCATCATTTATTTCCATTCGTTTATTTTCATATCTATTTTTATTTTAATAATATTTAACAAAAACATTTGTAGATATAATACAATTAGTGCAAGTTTATTTTATAATAAAAAAGATAAATAATATTTTAATATACTTGAAATAAACTGCACTGAATGTCCGAGAGTTAAAATTATTCGGATAATAGTGATAATACTATATATTTAATCCAATCAAAGAGCGCGTTTCATCCCCGAACTTTTCGCACGTTAGCAACGGATAAAAGGATCATAAAAAATACATTCGTAAGCGTCTTTCCGTAAAAATCCGCAGCGGTTATCTCGGGCAACATTCACTCGCATTAACGGATCAAACCTCCCACCTCCCCTATTTTCACCCTACCACGTGTCCAAGTACTCGCTTCTCTACGATCTTACCCTGTAAAAGCGTCCACCAAGTGTTCGCTTCCCTTTCGATCTCTTCTCGTGCTATTAAGAACGTTGATCTGGCTAATTAAATAGAACAGTTAGTTCTTCCATCAACCCCTCGTCGTCGTTGTGTGAGAATTCTTCCCCCTCGCATTTTTCGTTTACGAGACTCTCGTGAGTTTCTTTCGCTTGGCCTCGCTACTCGTCGGATCGATGAACACAATTTCATGCTGACCGAGTAATTCCTTTTGCGTAGGGATAGCTATCGTCGTAATCGTCGTTCTCGTAGTTTTCATCACCTTACGTTTTATCGCACTATCGAGAACAATACGAGACAGAGCGACAAAACGACCCACTTGCTGGCGATGATCAGGGACGCGTCGCTGTGGTCCTTGAGATTCTGGTGGTTGTCGTTGCGGTTGTTATGCTTGAAGGCATTACCCTGGTCCTTGATTAAGGGAGCGCGCGGATCCGCGGTGGTCGACGAGGTCGCGTATCTGTTGTTGTGAATCAATCGCGCGGTGCTCTTCTGCATCGCCGGCGTGCTCACCTGCTGATGGAAAACCCGATTGACCATCGTCCCTTGCCCGGACTTTGACTTGCCTCGGTTCAGTCGCTTCGAATTGGTCGAGGTGATGCGATTGGGCACGGTTGCGCGCTCGATCTCTGAAAATATCCACATGAATCATGGACACCAGACGCTTCGCTTTTCGGGCTTTCGCCCTTTTTATTTTTTTTTTTAGCATCGTCTCTTTAGTTTTACTTTTTTAGCTATATCGTTGGCGCTAATAATAAAGAACTCCGTGATTATATGGAAAAATTGGATTCCGGTAAAATGAGTTGGTTTTCATATGGCTAAAATAATAGATGTCCTTGAGCTATGGTTAATCAAAAGTGTAAAACTTCTGCTCTTCATAGAGCATCTTTGATACACCAGTTTAAAAATTATCCATTATTGAGTCTTGTGAAAGATGTGTAAGATATTTATGACATTTTTTATTCATCATATTATAAACTACAACATATGTGAAAACCAAATTATTTTTACGGTTGCGAGATCTAATTTTTTATATAATTTATGGGATCTTTTAACTGTATTGTGTACGTCTTTTATTTATCAAAGATTTCAACACAAAAAAAATTATTTTGTTTAAGTAAAAATTTAGATAGATAAATTTAGATAGTCTGAAAATTTTGTTGGACCATTAAAATAATTATGTAGGAAACTCAAGTATGATGAGCAATGCTGCAAAAAGTTTTGACATTCTAGCAATCAGCTTGAGCATTCTATATAATTGTTTTACTTGTAATAGTCTAACAAAATTATTTTCAGACTCGTATTTCATTAAATTGTTAGATACTTCAGCAAAATTGTTCTTTTCATGAATATGTATTGTTAAAAACAGTTAAATTACTCTTTGCAGTCGAAAAAAATAGTGGATTATAATATTACTTTTAATTATGCTTGAAATTTTATTTACTTAATTTTTATATTATTCCGTCATCAAAAGTAGTGCTATATGCGATACCAATCATATCTATACTACATGAAAAAGTACGGTTTTGTTGAAGTAAAAGTTTAGTTAAATACAGATCTTAAAATAATTTTATTGGACCAACAAAATAATTACGCAGAGAGTTTAAACTGGTTGCTAGAATGTCAAAATTCGTTGCAGCATTGCTCGTCATTTTGAAATTCCCACGTAATTATTTTTATAGTCCAACAGAATTATTTCCAAATCTGTATCTAGCTAAATTTTCAAACTCACAAAAGTACTTTTTTTGTATGGAAGAATTTCTATTAAGCATAGATTTATAATAGATAATAATCTTGCCTGATTTGTTATCAAACGATAGCGTATTTATATATTCAGTATCTTATATACTATGTATATGATTACTCACCGTATACTCTGAGAGTCGCCTCAGCTTTTCCCATACTTGAAGAGGCTGAGCACGTGTATTCACCCAAATCCGTTTTCTCCAAGCGTCTTATCTTCAACACGATCGTCGTCTTCCATTCCTCGTCGGGGTCCCCTTGCTCGTCGATTTCGTATCTGCCTCTGAATTGACATATCACTTACGTTTAACGTTTGCGATAGGGAGAATAGATTCCGTTATTCGACGTCTCGTTAGAATAACCGAATTGCCACCATGATCAATATCTGGAATCGCTGTGACCGAGGTCAGGAGCGATTTAGCAAAAAGCAATACGGAAACGTTTTGCCTCTTATCGCCTAAGAGATTGTCGAACAGCGGATTCGAACTACGCCCGAGGATCGGTAGACCAAACTGTCAATATTGTCTCGGCACATACCCGCTCATGATAACTTGCTCCTTCCGCATCCACAAGTTAATCGTCTTGGGATAAGCCTCGATTAAGCAGATTAGTGACACGTTTGTATCCAAGGGAGAACTGAGCAGTTGATTGGGTGCTTTAGCGCTAGGAGGGACTGGAATGGTATAAAGAAATGAGGGAATGTGATAGAAATGAGAAATCTAATTTTGGCATATTTATGTTTCATTTAATTTTTGACTTTTTTTTTGCTAATGCAAATTACGTTGTGTTTTTTCAACGATTCGTTCTCCCGTTAACATAATAATGCTATTAAGATACATTTTTTTTTCTGTTACAAAAGTAATGATTAAATATGGATTTGTCTGACTATCGGTTGATTTCAATCTTGATTCGATGGTGTTGACTATAAACGTTTCCAAGTACTTACAATTTACTTTTAGATTAACCCTCTTGCTGACCGCCGGAGGCACTTCGTTTCTAGCTATGCAAAGATAAGCCCCCATTTGCCTCCTGTCTACCCTGGTTAATTCTAGCCTCTCGCCGGACAGGTTGTCCACTAGAAAATCGTACGTTGTATGAATATCTCGTTGAAAGCTGCTCCCTCGTCGACCATATAAGCCGACGTGTTAACGCGGCCTGAGTAATTATTCGCGAAATACGCCTTCGAGGCAAACAACGATAAGCAGAATATGAATTTGTAGCAAAATTTGTCGCTAGAATTTATTACCAATGCTGATACAGTTGCGCGTTACTATTTCTGTCATAAGGGATATGTGAACTTGCTAAAATTAAAATTTAATTAATCCTCATTTCACTTTTTAATTAAACTTTAAAGACGTACATGTACAATTTTTTTAATTTATTGCTGTTGTATTAACAAAGTACAACTTGTATTTTAGCATGATTGATGAAAATGATGATCGATGGTCGTATTAAATGAGTAGAAGTGTTATTAGAGATCATAGCTCATAAATGACAACGATAAATTAATCTAATTAATTGGAAGAATTTTCAGCATCGCAAGTTACATGGTTATATCATATTATGTGGAAGTAGCGTTTATCATTAAAAGCGAGGAATGATGACAGAATTTTGAAAATTTATGTTTCTACTACGTGTTTACGATTTCCATTATCCAATGAGGAATTGCATTAGCGTGCACACGCAGTATAGACGCTTTTCAAATAACTGAAAGATAATGAATCATATTATCGAACGAACGGCCGACATAAATCACATGTGGAATGTGTCGTTCCGTGTTCACGATAAAATGTGTCAGAAGTTTAATAAGATCGATCAAAAATAGACAAGATGCGTTGATTTGATCTGACAGCACACATTTGATCCGATGAATTCGTACAGCACCGTATTCACTTGTATTAAATTAATAATTGTCGCATGTTTGATTGCATTATCGAGTACGGAAATAGCGTCTTTTTATTTTGGAATTTAATTATTGCGCTCCAGATTTTCGTTGATTGTTAATCAAATAACGGGATATTTTGCAAAAGCAAATTATATCTAGAAAAATGCAATAATTTTCATTATATCAACAATGATTTAATATAATTAATGATATTACTAATATTATTAATTGCGGTGTACATAATATTAAATAACAGTTTTTTTTTTATTATACTTTATATCAATGTTATTGATGCAAAAGATAAAAATTGGTGCAATTGTTTAAATTCATCTTGCGTATAAATCAAAATAATTTATATACACATTTTACATTGCGATTAATCTATACATCGCGAACAATGTCACGAAGCTTCGAAAACTGTAACTGATAAAAGAAATATACAATGAATTAAAAAATCTTTTATTGAAAAGCACCGTAAAAAAAAGTACTAAAAGTATGTATTATACGTTACACACCCTTCTGGATGCATCGAGCTATATTGGGAATCGATTGATTGCTAAAATTTGTCTCTCTAGCACGACGTCAATCATTTCAATCGAACGTCAATAGTTGTACAAGCACACTCGTTTAATTCCGCGTGAGTCGTTGGCACTCGCATGATATTGCAAGTATTTCTTTTAACCGGTCGATCTGTTCGCGGCGCGCGCGATCCACCGCGACTGCACAAAATTCCTGGACTTTGGGTATCTTGCAAAATGCAGCGGAACTCGACCTGCCCGAAGGATATTGAAAGTCATTGCGGACAAACTAATCTCTATTCGATGGAACGTGTTCCGCCGTAATTGCTTTCGATCGAGATCACCTACGTGTGCGAATTTACGATGTCTTCATATCCCCTTAAAACGCTCGACTATTTGATTGAGACACGTCGGATTACCGGGATTATTCTAATGGACAAAAGCAAAGGTATTAAAACGTTTGTAAAAATATTAAAGAGAAGAGAACTTTTCTAAATTTTTATCTCGATTTTATATAGCTCAATAAAAAATGTGATTATTTGTTCATTATTTTTTGAGCTTCGTAACATTCGATTTATTGCTTTTTCTAAAAAAAAAAA